GCGTGCTGAATGCGATGGTGCTGAGTCCTGTGAGAATGTCCAAGGTCTGCGGCCAAAATATTTGCGTGCTCAAGGCTTAAATACACCCTCCAGAATATTTTTCCGTTAATATTCGGCATGATGCCACGGTTGATTAATACGAGCGGTCACTCTCCGCTCGTATTAATCGGCTGTTATGGCGGCCCACACTATCAACATGGCCGGCGCTTGAGTTCTGGTGGCCTACCGAAGGTGTACATTTTCAGCTGACCTCTTTGGCAAGTAAACACGATCATTTTCCTTTTTTGCAAACTGCTGGACAGCGAATGCTTTTTCATGCTTTTTCATCAAACCAAATTCGGCAGTTCACCACTTTCGGCCAAGCGAAGCAACTCTTTAGCTCTTTTGAGTCTATTTTCTTCCTGTTGCGGTTTAAGTTCTTGCACTTTTTGGAATTTCAATGGCTTTACCCCGAGCTCATTTTTCAATATTTGCCGAATTAAATGCGATATGTTCAGCTCACGAGTCATTTTTCGGCCACTGCGACACTGGTTTCGATTAAGTCGCTTCTTTACTTTTCGAACCATTTCGGCTGATGTTGCTGTTTTCTTCCGTCCACTTCCTTGGCATCAGGCTACGCTAACAGTATCACGGTAACGAGCGATGGTAAAAGACACAGAGGATTTATTTACATTTAAATGCTGGAATGCTCTAACGATAGCCACTTATGGTTTTCCAGCCAAATATAATAAAAAAATCCCACTGTCACGCTTGAATTCCATCACGAATAACTTTTTTTCTGGAAAATTCTCAACAAAATACTTCCGTAAGCTTGCAAACAATATAATGAGATGTCACTGGAATAATTTCAACAGCTGTCGGATGAGTGGCTTAGAAATGACAGCAGTCTGAAGGTGGTTGCAGTTTTTTCATCTCACTCCAATTGTGTACGAGTAAGTTAAATGGTCTTCCAATTCTTCCATGTCTGGTTGGCGTCAGTACCATACTTAGTCAAAACCTTTTTTATACATTTCAGTTTAAATAGATTTCATTACCTTTGCTTGCTTATGGAAAATAAAAAATTCGCCAATTTGGATCTAATTAGTGTTAATGTTTATTGAACACCTCAAAGTCCCAGATTCATCTTCGAAGGACTTGATAAAGGCTCTTCGAAAAATACACCCTCAGGAAGTTAAAAAACAATGTTCCAACCTTTATTAAACAACGAAAATTTAATTCCAGATTCATTTCTCGTATATTGTTCTTTTTTATTTTAGCTCCTACGACAACTTTGTTATGTTCTTCCGGTTGTATTGTTGTATCGGCTATGAACTGTCAACCAACAGAAATTAACCTCACGGAGAAGAAATAAATTTTGTTCTGGCAAATATTTATGAATGTTTTCATTTATTGTGTTATTCTGCACGGAGTTGCACTCAGTCCAGGCAAATATTTACGACAGCACTGACTGACTGACTGGTGTACATTCGAAAGAATTTACGTCGAAATGTATATGTTTGTATAAATGCATTTGTATGTGTTAATAGCCTTAAAATAAAATTCAACAATTTCGATGAATGTTGGCCAGTTTGTTTTCATGGTTCATTGCAACAATAAAAATCAGCAAACAACAACAACAATAACACTGTCTACAGAATTATTAGTGTTGTTGCAATTATTTTGGTAGTTGTTGCCGGTTTAGTTTCTCTTTTTTTTTTGAAGCTAGAGAAGTTCCACTATAGAGTTAGCAAAAAAGAATGCTATAAAATCATGCACCGACCGCATTATATATATGCATGTTTGTATGTCTATACATATGTATGTATTGTGAATTTGTGTCCAGCAGGCATTCTATTTGTGTGTGCCCGTCCGTGTGTGTACAGACAATGTCCTTGCAAATGCGAATGCAATTGTGTGCCAGTGTACCTTATTTATGTCAGCGTGTTGTTTGTCGGTCGTTTGGCTATAACAAACTGACTCACTAAACTCCAAACGATTCGGTTTCATTTCCGTTTTACAAATTTCAATTACGACATGGGCACGCGACATTAAAGGAAGCGCGCATTCAATTGTGCACCTTTGTCGTCGTTGCCATCCTCATAATTCCACTGACAGTCGCCGCGGTTGTTGTTGCCGTTGTCCCCACTTTCTGTGTCTTCGTGCACTTAATGAAGTGAACAGCGTGAAAAAATATGCATAATTGTAACGGAAGTGCGACTTTCACATGCCGCTGTGTGCGGTTTTTCACGTGTGAAATATAATTAATTTGATTATTGCGTCAAGTATATCAATTCACGGCTTCGGCTTGATTATTTCTTGTGTTCTTCTAGAGAAGAATAAGGTTTTAGAGCGTAATCAAGAATACTTTACATATGACTTGTATTTCGCCAAATAATAAGATGTAAGGATGAGATATGAACAAAATATTTTTGAGCTTGGTCCAAGTCTATACTAAAGAGTTGATGTGCACCAAAGTGGTGCGGCCCATTTTCTGATTCCTGAAATTCCAAAGACCAATATAGACATGGAGATATTTCACAGGTATTTAGCTTAGATTGTCTACTTTCAGTCAATTTATTATTTAAAACTCGCACAACCCACATTTTTAAAAAATTGTTTACCATCCACCATAGTAAATAGAAACAAGAAAGCAGAGGCTATAGTCGGGTGGGAATAGGGTAACTGTAGGTGTAAAAACTTTTAACTAGAAAGAACGAATCCTCGTTCTAAGGAAGTGCGAAACAGTATATACCATCGATATTTAAAACAATAGGTCAGCGAAGATGGCATCATTGTGCTTATCAAATTTAACAAAAAGAGTTTACCTTTTTATACCATCCACCTTGAAAAAGGGGGTATATTAACTTTGTCATTCCGTTTGTAACATCTCTAAATATTTTTCGTAGATGAAAGTTGATATATTCATGAAAAGCATACAATTCTAAGTCGATGTAACGATGTCCATCTGTCTATCTGTTGAAATCACGATACATTATTTGACGTCGAGCTTCAAAATTTTGCACAAAGATTTGAATTGTGTTTAGGATGGTTTTTATTGAAAATGAGATGTATCGGTCCCCGTTTCCGTATAGCCCTCACATAAAGGTACCTCCTACTATTCGGTAGTTTTATGATTTTTGCCACATTTTTTCACGAATTTGTCTAAAAATTTGTTATCTGGAGGTCATAATGGGTTTTGGGCTTCGTTAGCGGAACATTGTATGTATACGATTTCGGATAGCCCCCATATAACGTTACCCCCGATATTCGGTATTTTGATGATTTTAGCCAAATTTTTCACCGGAATTGTTCTAAATTTGGAATTTGAAGTTCGAAATAGATATTACAGCAAATTGTCTGTGCAGGTCCACGTTTTGGTATAACCCCCATATAATGGTACCTCCCTATATTCAGTATTTTGATGATTTTAGCTACATTATTCACCGATTTTTTTAAGTTTCGCATTTGAATGTCCGATACCCCCGATGCATCGTCATATGGGAACATAAATATGGGATAGATGCCCATCCTTGAACTTGACCTGCCTACAGACAAAAGACATCCCTCTGCAAAATCAAAGCTTCCTATCGCATGTGTACTCTAGCGTGATTATAGCAGGCGGGCGGACATGATCAAGTCAATTTAGAATTTTTAGAATGAATACTATGTTGGGTCAAAAATGATTATTTCGATGAGTTAGAAACGGATTGAGAAACTTAACATACCCTCCATACTATGTATGGTGGAGGGTATTTTGGAAATTCGTACTAAAAGGGTACAAACTGTATTAAGTGGTACTTAATTTGGAACAGTTCGGTTTAGGGTGAACGGATGGAGCTGAAATTTTGAAGTTTTGTATTGGGGTCCCTGTGGGTTGCAGTTTTTTGATAAAGAGGTGGTTTTGGAATTGTGTAATACAAGTGCACAAAATGTACTAAATAGTACTATATTTGGTACAATTTGGTATCGGCTGAACAGATAGTGTTAGAAATCTGAAAATTTGTATTAAAGTTGCTGTTCATGTGTAGCGTGGATACATGGAGGTGGTTTGGAAATGCGTCCAATATTTGTACGAAAAGTACTAAATGGTACTAAATTTGGCATTGGGTGAAGGAATCCTCAAATTTGATTTCGAGGTCTCTGTAGGCATCTGGAATCAAGATATGAAGGTGGTTTGAAATGCGCCCTATATTTGTACGAAAAGTACTAAATTGTACTACATTTGATATTGGGTGAAGAAACAGAGCTTAAATCCTAAAATTTGATATAGATGTCCCTGTTGGTGTATGTGGTTAAGATATGGAGGTGGTTTTGGAAATGTCTACTATAATTTTTCGAAAGATACTAAGTCATACTAAATTGGGTATTGGGTGAAGGGATAGAGCTGGAATCCCGAAATTTGATATTGAGGTCTCTATTGGTATCTTGGAGTGCGATTCGGGGGTGGGCTTGGAAATGCGCAATTTAATTGTACGAATGTACTAAAATTAACTACATTTCGTATTGGGTAGAGCTGACATTTTTAAATATGATATTTTGGCTCTGTTGGTTTCTAGAAAAATTGGATGGGGGTCCATTGTGCAATGGTTTTGCTAATATCCCCGGTAAATTTCAAAATTAATGATTTTGAAGACTTATTTGTGTAAAATGTGAACATTTTCTTATTATTCTTTCCGAAAAAGGAAAAACTTTATGAATAAGTAAAACCTTGAAAATCTCAAATGAAGTTTTGATTAAAAAATATTGTCAAACTGAACAATTTTTATATTTTGAGTACTAAAAAGTACTTATACCAACTTTTGGAACAAATCTAAAATTTAAGGTGGACTTTTCGCTGACGAAATAGCGGGCACTTGCTAGTCTATGAAAAAATTACTATTTCGTTCTAACTTTTGATCTGCCAAATAAAAATTCAAAATAATTGGCTTGGCATCGCACTAATTCCGTTCTTGAAATTCTAACCCATTATTACCCATGCTCACAACATCGTTAAAAATATTTTCTATTTCCTCTCATTTCAGAACTTTTACCAAATAAAAAACACAACTTTCGCCAATTTCTACTTCCTCCTCCTACTTTACTACTAAAAAATTTTAACGAACCCCATACCAAAACACAACAACGCACAAAAACAATAAACAAAGGACCTCAACAGTTTCAGCAAAAGAGTGATTGTGCTGCTGCTCGCGAGAAGATTATTGCAAAACATTTTCAGCCAATAAAAATTCTTTCGCACAAGATCCGGTGATGTGGGACAACCCCCGCAGCGGGAAATGCAACAAACCCAACGTTATATACCGTCTGTATCTGATCTATATGGAACGGACGAGATAGAACTACTACTGGACGAGATACGTGAACTGGAGCCGGTCTGCTGTCAGCTGGACGATGAACAGGATTTTGAAATAGCTGGCAGCAGGGCCGGAGAGCTATCATTATCCTTGGAATCGCCACTGGGTACGTGCACGTCGTGGGACTCGCACGCCAATTACAAACAGCGTATCGCCCAAACGCCACTGCCATGGGGTGTAGCCCTACACTGTGATCCGCAACATTTAAAAACGCCCACGGGGATCGTAAGAATACTATTGGTGGTAAGTTGTAATCGTATTGGAGTTGTATGACCCTTGAAATCATTCAATGTTGATTTATCCCGTTACAGTTATCTTCAGCAGCCTGTCTGGCCTGTGAATGTTCGGCCGGAACGGTACAAGTTGGTCTCTTTTTACTGCCACTCATCGGACGCCTCAGATTGATGGTGTTTTGTGCACTGTTTTCCCTTCTGATCACATGCCTCATGTTGTTTCTTGACATTTCACATATAGCCCTAATGTTTCCCTTCAATTGGACAAAAATTGTGAGTATAGCGTTGGTGAATTTTGAAAATAAATGTTACATGAGTACAAAAAAGTCACATAGTTAATATTCCCGGAGTACAAGGGGAATGTCTCTGAATGACATGCCTCAGTTACCTTTTGTGGGCTATAAGTGGTACACAACTTCAAGACTTTGAAAAAATGTCGATCGAAATGAATTTTAAAATATCAATGCAGTCTTTATTTAATTGAAAATTACGGTTGAAAGTCTAAATATCAAATGTTGGAGTTGAACACCTCAACCAAAATTTCCATTTTTATCAATCCAAAATGAACTTATATAGAAATTCAGATCGAAATTTTTTCGATATCGAATGTAACAATTTCGCCCCAGCTTTTAATATCTTTGGAATGGTTATATCCTCCAGGCTCTATCAATTTTTCATCCTAGTTGAGTGAGACAAAATATCTAAATCGTAGAAATAATCGATGTAGAAAGCAAATAGGATACAAACCGGCTAGTCATAAATGGCGTGGAACGTTAGATGTGGCTAGGGGTAAAACCACTTAATTGATACTCTTAAATTTTATTCAGCGTTTATTAGTTGATTTAATGCTACACCGACATATTCAGACATGTTCGAAGCCATTTTTCAATGAGACAAATTTTGGACGTATCAAATGATACATTGCTTTACCTATTTTAATTTTAATGGGCTTGAATCACTGACTGTTAGTACCTCGTAGTGCCCACAGCTTTGTAAAATTACAGAAATACAGCCCCGAGGGTATGCCCGCTTCCTGCCAAAATTCAAAATTATACGCAACAAGTTTTCATTTATTTCATATTTTTTTTTTTAATGAGTGAAAAAGCGCGAAAATATAATGAAATGTCTGGATTATCTTTTAAAAATGTTATCCAAAACTTAAGTTCTATGGCAAAACTGGTTAATATCTGCAAATGATTATGCTGACGTAAGGGAAGAACATTCGTCTTCTCATATAAATAGTCCACAAGAGTCATGAGAAGACACTCTGTTGCAGTTCTCAGGGCGGCATTCTGGCAGGTGTGAATACTTCTACACTGCGTTGCACTCGTATTCGCAGACCACACTGGAGCCGCATACCTAACCACAGGCCGCCTTATCGCTTTATAAGAGTTCAACAAGGTTTCCTTATCCGCGCCCCAAATGCTGCCAGCTAGCGCCTTGAGAACCTTGTTCCTACTTTTCAATTTATCGCAGATAGCTGTGGCTTGCGCGGACGACTTGAACATGCTGTCGAATATAACACCATCTCATCTCCGCAGTTCATGTGGTAAATAGTGTGGCTGTTGATTTGGTGTCGGATATTTTCATATTCCTCGCATGGAAGAAGGCGGCAAGCTCCGCGAGATAGCTCAACTACAGGACCCGACGCTATGATCGTACAGTCATTCGCATATGTCACGAACTTGATGACGCCTGGAGGGCGCGGAATTCCCCACGTTGGGGAACTCCCTGTTTCATTCAACGGGACTGGGACTTCTTGTTCCAGAATTCCAAGTACGACTGGCGTACACTCATATAATTGACTATCCAACGTGTCTAAGATGGCCGGAGGGTAGTATTTTCAACGTCCTCAAACAGCGTGGTATGGTTGACCGTAACAAAGGAATTTGATAGATCAAGAGCCACCACTACTGTTATATGGCACGGCCTGTTCTGGTTGAGTCTTCGACTGATATGTGTGGATATAGAGTGGCAAGTTAGCAACTGAATAATTTCCTCTGATATTGAGAAGGAGTAAAGCCTCGAGAGTCTTTGCTACTGCAAAGTGCCTGTCTTCAGTAGCGGGACAAGCCTGCTCATTTTCCAGACTTCGGGAACTATGTGGGTGGGTAACGACAGGTTAAGGACTTTTGTTAGATACTCAACTCTTGGTGTACTCAACTCCCAGTTGCTTCAAAATTACCATTGATATTCCGTCTGCATTGGATGACTACCGCATTGAATGACTTAGCGTTTTGAATGGCACTCGCAACATCACCCATCGTAAACTGTGGAGGTACATCCTCGGCGGGAAGAGCTCTTATACGACGTAGTACTCTTCGCCTCGGCCTATCACTCTCGGGGTGCTCCACAAATAAGCGGTTAAAATGGCCAGCGCAATTCTTCGGATCAGTCTCCGTTACGTCGTTAAATTTGACTGCTGTCCTATCATGCTTTTTCCTAGGGTTCGAGAGTGACTTACCCGTTACCCACAATTTACTTAAATCGCTTCCGATCTTGCAACACTCCAGATGGTCTAGCCACTTTTTCCGCTTAAGCTCCTGCATCAACCTGTTAACTTCCACTGTCCCTACTGGGATCAGTAGGTTTGGTACACCGGAGCTCATCACGCTCATTCGCTAGTCCCGCTGCCTCTGCTGGGAAATTTGGTCTTACTTTGGGTATTCGACCAGCAAGGTATATACATTTAGCGGCTGCAGGAAAATTCTTTCCGCTAGCCGCACATCAGAAGGGTTGGGCAGTTCCCGTAACAAAGGAAGGTTGGTGAACTCTCTGAACTCAGGCCAGTGGGCTTTCCCATGGTTAAGGAAAGGAAAGTTCGTTCCTGTATTTCTTTTTAGAGATTTGTTTTATTCTCTCAACAGACAAGTTTGAATTAAGTTTGTGTTAGGCTAAGATATTAATCCAAAGCTGTAAACAGCTTGAAGTCTTCGCATGGCATATTTTGTACATAAGCAGCTTGGCATCACAGCTGGTCATATTAATGTCAAATCATAAGGAAATCAAGTTAAAAAGTAGTAAGTTCGGCCGGGCCGAACTTTAAATACCCTCCACCATTTGGAACGAATTTGGAAATATTCAGAAAATAAAATCATTAAAACATTCTGTTAAAATTTTAAAAATACCAAATATAGACGTTATATTGGTGTATACGACGTGGGCCTACATAGGCATTGTTTGTCATAAGCCATTACCATATTTAAATTCGAAACTTGAAATAAACGGTGAATAATGTAGCTAAAATCATCAAAATATCGTATATAGTTAGGTACCGTCATATCGGAGCTGTGCGAAGACCTGGAACTGCATAGACAATTTTCTGTCACAGGCTGTAGCATACATTACGAACTTCAAATACCACATCTCAAACAATTTCGGTGGGTATTGTACCTAAAATACCGAATATAGAGATGTACTGGTATATGGGGCCTATACGAAGACCTGGACCACCATATACAATTTTCTGTCTTAGGGTGTAGTATCCAATTCGAACTTCAAATACCAAATTTGAAACAATTCCGGTGAATAATGTCGCTAAAATCATCAAAATACCGAATATCGAGAGGTACCGTTATATGGAGGCTATACGAAGACGTGGACTTGCACAGACAATTTTCTGTCTTAGGGTGTAGTATCTATTTCGAACTTCAAATACCAAATTTGAAACAATTCCGGTGAATAATGTCGCTAAAATCATCAAAATACCGAATATCGGGAGGTACCGTTATATGGGGGCTATATGAAAACGTGGACCTACATGGCCCATTCACGAATTTAACCTGCCTACAGGAAAACTAAACATGTGTGCAAATTAGCCATCTATCTCAATTCATTCGAAAGATAGCGTGATTACAACAGACAAACGGACAGACAGACGGACGGACATCGCAAAATCGACTTAGAATTTTACGCTGATCAAAAATATATATACTTTGTTGGGTCTGACATGAGTATTTCGAGGAGTTACAAACGGAATGACAAAGTTAATATACCCTCCATAGTATGGTAGAGGGTATAAAAGACGGCATGATATGAGTGCGCCTCTGGCATCTCTATATGATATGTCACCAAATATGCCGTGCGAAGACTTCGAGTTGCTTATGTACCCACACCTTTAAAATTATTTTCAGATTTGTTTTTTTTTTTTAATTTTGAGTATTTCACGTCAAATATAAGATTAGATACAACAATGTTCAATGTACATTAATTTCAATAATCAAATATGCGGATCTTATTTATCCTCATTTAGAATACATGGATGTACCTGAGTATTGGTTTAATATTAATTTTGAGCTCGACATTAATAATGCACATGGTGCTCTTTGCCGGCGAGTACACCCTGGTATCGAAATACACAAAAGATACTCTTTTTGCCTCAGCGGTAAGTATGCGAATCCCTAACATCTCCCGCTTTAAATTGTATATATTTTGATTATGTGATTCGTCATTTTGTAGATATTGGGATATATCTGTGCCATTGAGTCATTATTATTGTCTGGTATTGCTTCCTGGCCATGGACACAATATCGTCATGTGCCCGACGATGGTAGTGATATGTATATCGAGGATCGTGAAATGACACCGATGAGTCCAATCGATAGTACGGATGTGCCGAATCGTCATCAATTACAGCTGCAACTGCAACAACAGCAACAATCTCAAAATCACAATAATTGTAATAATAGCGTAACAGCGCACAGTGAAACGAATCATCACAATCAACACAATCGTACAATATCATCACCAACGTCCTATAATAATCAAAAGCCTTATATACCTGGTAAGTTGGAATTGGTTTAGGGAGCTACAACAATCCTCCTAACTCAATATGTGCTTGTTTTCTGTTTTTGCAGCCAAAAGACCCAATGAAATAAATAATCAAAGACCAACACTGGGTCACACACAACCAACCCGTAAACCGAATCAGCGTTATCGTGAGGGTTACCACTATCAACCTGTTGCGTCTACGTCCCGCCAGAGTCCCACATTCGTCTTAGGCGATGATATTGGGGCCGGTCCATCCACATCCCGATCCAATGATAATTCTAGTGCGTGATAGTTTTTATTCCTCATTATAAGATTATTATACATATATATTTTTTTTAGAAAAACCGAAAAAACACAATTTGCATTAAAACAAAACAAAAAAGAGATAAACGTAAAAACCCCAAAACCAATTAAAACCATGTTATTTTTTTTTAATTTTAAAACAAAATTAAATTAGAATTTTTTAAGTGACGATAGAAAATCAATTGGATTATTCCCAACACATTATTTAACAATTAACAATAAATTGCAATGAAAGTAGTTAAACAAGTTAAGCTAAGGAAGAACAAACTGATACACAAAACGAAAGAAAATGCGCAAGCGCAGAACCTAAAAACTCCCCGAAAACAAAAAAAAGAAACAAATGAACAAAAAAAAATAGTAACAAAATTTCACCTGAAATTTTCAAATTGTAATTGGTAACTAAAAGAAGACCGAGAAAAAAAGAGAGAGAACATGAAAACTAAACAATAATAATGTTAAATTTGTAATTGTGTAATATTAATAATAGAACAAAAAAGAAAACCGAATCAAGATGAAAATCACATCATAATAAATTTAGATGAAACGTAACGAAATGAAAGCAAACTGAAATTATTAAGAATTTAAAACAAAAGTGAAATTAAAAAAAAAATGAAGTAATAATCAAGAAAATAAATGGCCATATAGAACAAAACAAAAATAAAACAAAAGCGATAATGAAACGAAAACAAAATATATAAAACAAATACTACAAATCTAGGACTCGATAGAAATAAACAACACTAAACAGCAACTAAGCAAAAGAACAGTACTGAAACACATTAGAAAAAACCAAAGAGAAGAAGCAAACCAACCAAGAAAAACGATCACAAACAAATACGTATTTATATATGTATATTTTTTGTCCAAATCCTAAGCCATAACAACAAAACCAAAAACAAAAAATATCTCTGTACAATTTAAGTTAATAATTAAAAAAAAACGAATCTACAGAACTAAGATCAACAAAAAACAATAATTACATATGCATTCATATATCAATTTGATATATATACAAAAATAAATTCAAAAATACACATTTTTTTAATTAAAATATTGCACTGTTGCTAAACGGAATTTTTGTTGAAATTAGTTTCTAGGAAAATCAAGTTTTTGAGAATATATTTGTAATGGATTTTCGAGGCATGAAACAAAATTTGATATTGTTTTTATTTTCATACAAAATTTGAGAAGATTGGACAAACTTTAAAGCAGTTTAGTTTTATAAGCTTAAGCTTTTATAAAAACAACAATAATGGGATTAAGCCTGACCATTTTGCAACAACAAACATATGTTGTAACATAACCAACTTACATGGTTACGCTATTTCGTTCATGTAAAACGAAAATGTTTATAAGTGCGGTTGTAAGATTTAGAAACATTACCATCGTTCTCCACTAATAAACAAACGTTGTTTTTATAAAAACAACAATAAAGGGATAAAGCCTGCAACAACAAGATTTTCCAAAATAATTTTAGTTTAATTTGATTCTTTGGTTCCTTTTCTATTGAGCTCAGGATCTTGTCACTTGGGTAAAAAAAGTTTTTTTGTCATAGGAGTTAGTTTTAAAATAACTCCTGGGCAGAATATCCCAGACAAAAAACACGGGAACTGAAGATGATTGGTGGCTCTTTCCAAAACCTAGGTATTCCCTGCCTTACTCCCTGGTAAATATTAGCATCTTTCTCCACTAATAAACAAACATTGTTTTTATAAAAACAACAATAATGGATTAAGTCTGTCTATTTTGCAACAATTACAATTATTGCGATTATATTAGTTTTATTTTCATTATTCAACATTTATTCATTTCATTTTTATTTGAATAAAAAAGTGTCTGAAAGGTGCAACAAGATCAATTTAATATTTTCACTACAGACTTTAACGTGTTGTATGTCTACATATTCACAAATTTAAACAAAGGTTTGATATAGCGTATTATAATTGGTTTTCCAATGGAAGGCATTCTTTAGTGTTTCTTCAAAGATGATCACGTTTGGTAAATTTTCCAAAGAAATTACCAAAGTTTGGCTCTTCTTAAAGAAACAACAACCTACAATTCAATTACTGATAAACGGCCAGTGCAATAGATGCAATTTCGTTACATTTTTTTTTTTTTTTTTTTTTTTTTTTTTGAATTCGGGCAAAGCAATATTTTGAATATTAAAAACATTGTGAACAAATCTACTTTTTATATTCCTTTTTTCATTTACAAAACTATACATTATTAACAATTTACACACACACATATACATTTAAATATACATTTGCTGCATTTTCCATTTAGTATTTGGAAAATATTGCATGTATCTCGTAGCCAATAAAGCGCGCCACATTTCTAGTTTAACAATAAAACAAAAAACTTAAAAAATTGTCCAGAAATAAAATACATTTCAAACCAAAAAAAACCAATAAAATCCAAAAATCAATTGGAAATGAAGAGGAGAGAAAAAAAAACGGTACATACTGTCCATATGAAATCCTTAATATACAACATACATTGATTGAATAATTAAAAATTACACAGAAAGTTCTATGAAATAAAAACTGAAGTTCTGGGGGAGGAAGGTGAACAGAATACTTCGCCCTCTAAATCTTACATCAACTCAGTTTATCTTTCATGCATTTTTCTGTGTCTGATATCCGAGTAAGGAGAACAACAACAAATTGCAATGCCAGGGTTAGTGTCGTATTACCAATGTCATTGTTAAGGTGTCTTGCTTCGATTTTGTTAAAGTTTACACGACCCTGTATTAATGATAAGGATTCGATGCCAAGAGACCCATGGCACGCATAACATAATAAAAAATCAAACATCAAACAACACACAACAATTTAATATACATGCAAACATACATATATATAAAACAAACTGAATCTAACACGAAACCCATTTAATCGAAAAATTATTTAAAAACCAAAATAAAAGTACATATTTTTTTTGACAAGAGATTATTACACATAAAAGTAAAAGAACAAATAAACAAAATTATTAATTAAGCATGAGAATGAAAATCATCTTGTTATAAACGTAGTTTTGCTTATTTTTTAATAAAGAAAAAAATGACAATTATATAAATGAACAAATACAAAAGAAAAAAAAAACAAGAAACTGATTATTTGCGTGATGTTTCATTTATTAAAGGTTTGTACTTTTTTTAGAAGAACCGAAGCGAAACCAAGAAAACCCAACAAAGGAAAAACTTAAAAGTAGGTTTAAACTGCCGTTAGCAGTAAAGAAATAAATGAAATTGAAAGCAGCATCTATTGCTTTTTACGACGAAAATTATTTTCATTGAAAGTTGTGTGCTTTTATGGGGAAAGTGCTAAAAGGAGGACTTCCCCCATCTCCGAACTCGATCTGAGTCTGACAGAAATATTGCAATGTTCCAAATTTGAACGAAATCGGATACCGCTTCGAGAGTTATCGTGGGCACATAGTCGAAAGTTTTTTCATATCAGATAAAATATACCCTCTATATCCATAAGGCTGTGGGTATTATTGTACAAGGCTGTGGATATAGTAATTGCTGGAAAATTGCCAGTAGAGCGATCTACCCAACTAATCCTATTAATTTATTATTTCTATTTTATTCTTATTTTTTAAACTTATCTTAAAAATATAAAGGCGGTCAAATCTCAAATATTCAAAATATTAATCAAATATATTTCCAAATCAAATATAAAACAAATAAGAAAAAGCTACAGTCGTGCGGCGGCGACCATGTGATACCCTACAACACTACAATATGTTAGAAGCCCCTTTATGTCCAAATCCATTTTAGAAGATTTCGATTTTGAAATTATGTCACGGAACACTATCCATATATTACCCTTAGCATTTTGACCAGAGATATTTGCCCAATATTTACGCACTCCGTCGTGCTGTTAGTTGTTGTGGTACATTTTACAGCTAAATATAATTCAAATGCAAGAATTTTCTCTTAGGCATGTCGATTGGCTTCAATAGTGTGATCAGGAATTTTTTTTCTGTTTTTGGTTCATTTGAACGGTAAATATTTTGCGATCATCTCCAAAAGCAAGAGGCCCATCTGTATCTCCAAATTTAGACTCATCAATATGATTTGCTTGTCTACAATATTTGGCTATATTCGTCAACGAAATCAGCATAAAAAACCAGCAGTTCGCCATTTGTGTATTTCGGATATCGCCTGTAAGTAATGTTGATATTTTTCACACAAAAGTAGTGTTCCATTCTACCCCCTGTCCTAAACTCTAACTTCATGCGAGATTTCGGGTCCTTTGGTTTCTATTTGTGACTTTTATAACGGCTCCGAAATCAGGAACATTGTTAGTTGTTGGTTTATTTCAACCCCTAAATATATTGCGTACATCTTTGAAAACAATAGGCCTAGCCCTTTTGAGCCTAACCCTACCCTTGTGAAAATTTTCGTGAGGATCGGACGATAATTGCAATCTGTATATAATAAACCCAACCTGTGTTGTTATTTAAAAAATTATTACAAAATGTACACTTCAATATTATAAGTCAAATTGAAAAAATCGCAAGACCTAAAAAATGTGAAAAAAATAAAAAATGACACATAATACAGCAAAAATCTATATTAATATCATTATTGGCATCTTTTTATGCGTTTTTTTAAGATTTTATACTTTTATGCCAAGAGGGCATTCTGAATTGACAAAATTTGTCAAAATCGGTCCAGCCATTCTTGAGGTATAAGCATTCTAGCTAACATCCCCTTCCTTTGTGTATATATATATATATATTGTATATATTTCGCTATATATACGATCGCCATCTACGTAAAGGTCAGAATTGACCTGTTCATCTATTTGTGATTTCGCCGGGATCAAAAATATTCGCGGTTTAATGGAAAATTTGACTTTTATTTAACACAAATATTATGGTCTGATTTACCCACTAAATATTTCCCGATGTCCATCAAAATTGGAAGGCTTCTGTCCAGTCCTAAGCTCTAGTCCTAGATTGGATGATTAGATTAGATGATTGCGACATGTAGACCAACTGCATAATCGGAAAAATTTTCTGTTTTTGGTCCATTTCAATCCCTAAATATTAAGTGATCAAAAGCAATAGGCTTCTATTCTGGCCCTAGCCCCCCTCCATTCTAAATTTCGCGAATATCTGGCCTTAATTGCGACCTGTAGAGTGATTACAAATTAACATGGACAGACGGACGGACATACATAGATAGATCGACTCAGCTCAGCGAGGAAGGTAGATATATATAATATATATGTTCCTATGTGTGAAACCAAAAACATCTACCATTTAACAAAACTTCTCTTTATATTTCACTTTCATAATTACAGAGAAGCTATACTTTAAATAAATAAATGCCACAACTCGTTGTGTGTGATAATTATTTCAAACCCAAATCCTTTTCAATTGTGTGCGAACAGACCGCCATCATTTGATCCTTAACACTTTCGAAGTTCTTCACTGCAATCGGTTTAGCTTCAGGCCATTGAGCCAAATCACGATAAATTGGACGGCAGAATTTCATGCGGAAGTTAGAATTAGCAAAGTCAATAATTTGACCCATACGATTCATGAGTCTGGCCATAATGCACAAACGCATGACACGGAAAAGAACTTCGGCATTTTTTGTGTTTTTCAGATTATAAGTAGCTTCCAAAAGTTCTATTTTTTGCTCAGTTAAATCTTTGATATCCTTGCATTCAATTAATTTGCCCAAGAAATCGATTAATTGATGGGTGGAGATTTTCTGCTTAACTTCGGCATTGCTGGCCAATTCTTCAGTGGTCTTGGTACTCCACAACAAAGCCAATTGTTTTGAGACATTGGCAAGAGTTTGATCAAATCTAAAAATACAAATATTTCGAACAATACAATTTGTTTTATTATTTTTAAAAACTTACTGTGGAATAATTGGAGGCATGCCCTCTGAAGACAACCACAATTCCCAATCAATTTCGTTGAGTTTACCATTTTTATCGGTGCAAACAAAATAATCGTAGAGGGCATTTTTAAAATCGTCTGTTACAACAGATTGATATGAATACTTTTGTAGATAGGAGCGTAGGAATGGTTCGAAAACTTCTGGACCACCCATCAAATCCTCAATATAGCGCAAGAATGTAGATCCCTTCATGTAGGGTACACTTGAGAAAGCGTCATCAGGGCCACAATTGGATAAATCAACGACCAATTTAGTCAACTCTGGGGTATCCTTTAATTGAGTGCGTAGCTAAAAAAACGAAAAAGGTTAAAATTATGCTTTAAACAGGCGAATTATATTTTCTACACATACACATTCCTGTAAGTCCGTCAAATTTCTCAACATATGGAAGTCGCGTTCCTTATCACCCTTCATGCGGCCGACAATCTTTGTTTCAACAAAAACGGTAAATCCTTCATTCAACCAGAAATGTTCAAAGTTTTTGTTTGTCACCAGATTACCGGTCCAGCTGTGAGCTATTTCATGAGCAACAACATCGGCCAGCGATTTGTCTCCAGCCAGCAGGGTAGGTGTGACAAAAGTCAAACATGGATTTTCCATACCACCAAATGGAAATGAAGGTGGCATAACCAACAGATCATATTGTTTCCAAACGTATGGACCACAGATATCTGCAGCAGTTTTCAACATTAATGATGTCTCTGAAAATTCGGCAGCACATTCCTCAATAATGCCCTCCTCAGCCCAAACATTAGAATTGGGACCCAAAGGTCTGGAAACCAAATCACCAATAGCAATGGCCAAGAGGTAGGCTGGAATGGGAACGTCTTGTTTGAATGTTGTGCGACCTTCTTCCTGCTTTTCGATTAGGGCACTCATTAAGGCCTTAAGATCTTTTGGATGTTCCACAGTCGCAGTATAAGTAAATTTCACAGCCGGTGTGTCTTGACACGGTATAATGGAACGTGCATGAATAGCTTGACATTGTGAAAACATGTACGGATGTTTCTTGCCCAAAGTTTGTTCGGGTGTCAGCCATTGTAGACCGCTAGCTTTTTGCGAAGTTTCATAGTCAATGCGAACAGTAAGTCTAAAAATGTATAAAAAAAAAATATAAATAAATAATTGGTTATGTATAAATTTGGTATCTTATTCTGCATGCAGATTAGGTATTTATATGGTATAAATTAAAACAAAAATACCTCGATTGAGCCTAACTCTATTGAAATGCCAAAACGGAAAAGTGGATTATGTCCACTGTACATGCAGTCTGGATTTACATATTACAAGTAAGTATTAATGTGAAATTCACAGCGATACACAATTTATCACTGAGAAGTTCTTATTTCCCGAGACTGTTTTTTTCGAGTGGATATCATATCACTACTGACTTTTCTTCTTAAAATTAACAAAATGGACCAGAGACCGCGCATCCAAAAACCAAATAACATCTGCAGATGAAGCTTCATACCGCTCTCAATATCTTACAGACTGTGCTTTTCTTAGGAAAAATAAAATTTATTGGCTGGTTAAAGTATTTATCTGGGAATCTTGTACACAAATTTCAACAATCCTCGCAAAACCCCACATAGTTCAAAAAGAAGTTTATATTCAGGTCATTAGCTGGAAGTACCTGTGACAAACAAATTGCCTTAGGAACAACGTATAAGACTTATTTTGTCTTGTACTTTATTCCTTAGTTATACCAAATGAAAAACTCTATATTTGGTTTTGATTACTTAAAGATGGCAAATGTATGTGTCTTCATTAGAAGTTCCACAAAATAGCCACAGGGACACATCCATAAGAACAAATAAACTAAAGAACTGTGATAGAGCAGAATAAATTTTCTAACATGTGCCTACACAAATTCATTTCGATGAAAATTTGTTCAATGCCGTATGCGAGAATTTCCCCTTATATTGGTAACGCTAGGGGAAATCTAACAACTTTAGTATTTCATCGCTTTCCATTACTAGAAAACTCTTGAATTCAATGTTAGAGACAAAAAAAAATTATCGTTAGACTAAACTATTTGTTACCAGCCAATACCTTCCAATCAAAACCCTTATAAAACCGCATTAATATGAAATTTACGACTACTTGGGGAAAACGGTTATAAATTATACATAAAATACATATTTCTACATGGGTAGGAGTCTTAACCTGATTAGCAAAGAAACTACGTTGATAACTGGCAGCAAATAAATCACAAATTAAATGTTTTGTACTTACTCTCCTTTAGCGGTGCCTTGGGGAAGTTCCAATGTTAACTTAGCGCCAATATCATCAACTGGGTCACTGATAAAATGATTCAAAGGTGTTGTGGAACCAGATGAAATTATTTCTGCATTTAAGATTTTCACATCGCGAACATCTAAAATCTATAAAGCATTAATTATATCAGTTTCTTTGGTTCAATAGCACTTGTACTTTATTTTACTCACAATTGATTCCAAATTATTTTCCAAAACATTGAACTTGTGGGTGACAGATCCCTTCAATTTGGTGTTGTCGAAATCTACCTTCCATTCCAAACTGCTGTGTTTGGTTGTAATCAATTCCGGTTGAGAGTAGGAACTGGGATCAACTTTACCTAGGCGACCCATATTACGATTAGATACACAATAAACTGGAACGGTTTGAAGTAGATCGGATGAGGAAAGTTGTTGAGTGGTCAACGAACGTTTGTGAACTGTAACGAAAATTCCAACAATGCTTTACTAAAATTCTATTTGGCTGCGGTTGAAACAATTTTTAGATTATCTCGGTTAGGGATTTTTTAATCTTATCGGGTGGTGTTATTTCTTTGCGATATCTCCAAGTGTTAACAAGCAATACAGGGGGAGCAACAAGTGGATGTTAAAGAATGATTTTAATCAATATAACACAAACGTTAAATTTGCAAAATTGTTTAACCCGAAAAATTTTGAAATGCAATGATTGAGTACCTCTACGTAGCGTGGGTGTGCAAATTGTAATATCAACTTTCCGTCCGGCCAAGGTAGATCTAACAGGTAACCGCATCGGCGAATTGCTACAACAAAGCAACTTTTGTGGTCCCCTCAAATGTCAAAATTGGCATCTAAGGCGAAAAACATAGATTCGCCATGACATTTAAAGGTTGCGGCAAATTTGTTTCAACCAATCAGAAACGAGGTGTTTGTTTACATTTTATTTTGTGTGCCTCTCGTCGTAAACGAACTTCGCAATAAAAGTTTTTATTGTAAAACAAATAAGAGTAAAATAAGTATTAATTGTAGTATTGCGATATTTTTTAAACCAAGAAACTTATAATGACTATATTTTACTGGTTTAAACCGAAAGTTTTCCGGAACTGCAAATGACAAGAGTCGAATTCTTGCACCACTTCCCGTGATGTGCTTTGGGAATCTTATATGTTGAGGCTAACTTAATTCTTAAAGCTGCACTCCATTCTATACTCCTTCCTTCATTTTCTTTTAATTATTTTTACTGGTTTCACTCTTAACTTGCTCTTAAATTATTTGAAATATTATAAAAATAGTTTTAGGGAAGACAACATAAACAAATTTGTTGTTGCATTCATTTAGGGCGAATTCGCCATTACAACAATTTGTTTTGACATTTAATGGTGCCGTCAGCTGGGCTGATGCGATTACCTAGTACATCTACCTTGCGTCCGGCTTTTGTAGGCCAACAAACTTTTTTGCAAATTAGGGATAGGTAAGTCGAATAATCGACTTTTGGTACTCAATGTTCTGATGCAGGCCACACACGATATATGTGGTTGTACAACTTGGAGATTGTATTGTTGTTGACAAGATTGTATCGTTTGTGGGCCGGTTGTACGAAGTTGTGTCTCGGTTGCACAAAAAATCAAATTTTTTTTTGATATTTGGCATGTTGTGCCAACCGATAGTAACGTTTGTGGGCATGTCGTATACAATTTTATTTTGTGTTTATTTTCGAAGAGACAACAACATTAGGTGTGTCTGGTTACTTTTCCTGCAGGAATTTTCAGCAGCATCTTTCTGAGAGAGTAAGGTAGTTTTATTTTATTTTTTTTTGCAAGGAAACCCCGAAAAGAAAATAGACGGTATTCCTGCACAAGCTTGCAACTAATCAGCTGATTTGTCAAAACAAACTAATTTGTCCCCCATTAAAAGAATTAAAAGAGAGGAAGCACCACCAATTTCACAGTTTATAAATAAAATTGAAATTAGTAAATTAATACAAATATGAGCAATAAAAGAAAGATAGATTCGATGTGTTCGGATTGTCATTCGGATGTTCCAACAAATTTTTTTATTACATATTCATATTTATGTTTTTCACATTTTGTAAAGTAAAAAAGACTCAATAAAATATAACATAACTTAACTTAACATTTTGTAAAGTTGTTCTCCAAAAACAATTAGTCTTGCTAATTTCAAAAAAATATTTTCAAATTGAAAGCACAAAAAGAAATAAATAAACAATAGAAAACATCTGACTGAATATCGATGGATGAGAAGAAGAAGTGTTGAAAGAAGAAATTTGTCCAGCAAGAATTTGCAAAATCTCACTGAAAGAACTTTCAAATTTTTTCTCTCCAACCGCTCTTTTTTGCAGAACTTTCGGATTAACATATGACTTCCAGTAACAATTGTGCACATCCAAACAAGACGAAATTCGACCAAATGCGTGATTTTAATGAATATTATAAAATGGGATTGGGAAGGGAAACAAAAGCTATTGAGTCAATTATATAGCATGAACTTCTTTCCGGTGTCATCTTAATTCAAATGAACTCTTCAGAAAGTGAAGTTGCATAAAGAGGTTGTACACAAATTTGTATCGTTTGTGGACTGAGCATGGTAGAAGAATATAGGTAGATGCATCGACACAGCTGCTGGGACAATGAACTGTGAAACCAATTTTGTAATTAAAAATGTTGAATGAAATATTATTTAAATTTGTAAAAATTGTTGAAAAACGCGAATTATAATAACCTCCGAATGGCGTCGTATAAGAAAACATTTAAAAATCTACTTATTTTTGAAAAAAAAAAAAACATTTGATATTTTTTGGACATATCAATGCTCCCAAGCGTTGGTGCCTGTATTCTTCTGGCATGGGCCTGAGCATGCAACTTGACTACCTAAGTTGTATCGTGTGTGGCTTGCAAGAAACTCGACTATGGATAATTGATTGTTCGGATTTGCCAAGTCGGAATGAATTATGACTACGATTCAGTAGCAATTTATACCAAAGCATTAAAAGTAAGAAAACAAGTCTTTCTCTATTTCAAATTATATTTTTCACAGAGTAACAAACTATTCTTAACCAAAAACAAAATTATCGCAAAATGTAATCCTTTGGATAGTCCATAATCGATGGGAAGTTCTCCAATGTTTCCTTGTCGATCATATCCAAACGTTGTGGTACTTGGCGCGGTGTTCTTATTTGTTTTGATACATTTGCTAGTATTTCCTCTGGAACTTTATCATCTGCGAACAAATGAAGGCGCTGCATTGTATGTCTTCTTTGCAAATTTCCCTTCATTGAATTATATACAGCCTTATACATGACCATTGTGGGATCTTTTTCGTGCAATTGCCAAGCAAGGGTCCAAGAAGCACCACCAGGATATCCTGTGTGATGGAAATAAACACGTTTTACCCATTCGTCACCTGGGAGAGCTATTTCTTTCGTATTTATAACGACAACATGGTCTCCGCAATCATCTGAAAAGGGACATTAAAATAAAGCAATTCGATTATAAATAATTAAAGGGTATTTACCACTCATTGCGATGAAAGATATTTTTTGACTGATTTTAATATTTTTCTAACATAGGGGTATATATTTAAAGAAACACATATAATTACATAGGAATATATTGTGAAATAAGGGCCGAAAGAAAAACACAAAGCGTATTTTCCAAATTTTTGATGCAACACACTGTAGAAGTGATTACAACCCGAAAGAAATCGCTAATTTTGTGATTCCTACCTACGTTTTATTCTTATTTCAAAAACTTCCATGTCTATAAGGAACAACTCTAGTTTTGTAAAAACTCTTCGATTTTTTCGAAATTTTTTCCATAGGTAGGTATTTTTACCCGGGATCAAGACCCCGCCTGGATCCACTTACCCGATATAGACAATATGGGTATCGATTGAAAGCTTATGGAAATACCTATCCAACAAGTTGTCATGGTCGGAAGTTATAGTCAGTCGATTTTTTGGACCCGGATTTTTTATGAAACCCCCAAAAAGTCAAAAAAGGGCCCATTATGGGCGTCAACAAAATTTGTTTCCAAATTATAGCTGACACTCTTACCTTTCCAAAATGCTACAATTTGTGCTAACTGAGTCCAGAGATATGGGTCTTTCCATCCGCATAACCCGACTCTAACCAGATCATTAAAACTATGTTTTCAATCAAAAAAGGTATATTTGGATCCTTTTTTGACTTTTTGGGGGTTTTATAAAAAATCCGGGTCCAAAAAATCGATCATTTGACTATAACTTCCCAACCGTAACATCTTACCCCATCATGTGACCACTTTCCAACGATATCTATATTGTCTAAATCGGGTAATTGGATCCGGGTCTAGTCGGGGTCTTGAACCCGGACTTTCGGGTAAATATTCTGGGGTCCCAGGTCCGTCCCCCAAGAATAGTTTCCCGGGATCAGGGTAAAAATACCTACCACTGGATAAAATTTCGAAAAAATTGAAGAGTTTTTACTAAACTAGAGTTAAGCTCTACTTGGTAATGTATGCATCTAGGGCTAAGGCGCCCCTATCCGATAACTTTAAAAATTCTGCCAAATATATCCTCATGGTCCTGAGTTCGAGGATAATCCATAGTTTTCTGAATTTCAAAATTTTTTAATGGACGGTCTTCGACTTGGGCTGTCCATCTTGCCTTGGTTGGTCTTACAAACACTAGAAATACACCCTTAGGAAACTTAGAGGCCAATAACTCGGGAAGTGTGGACTTCGTTGTACTCAAGACAACAAAGAGGTACGTATGGCATAATTTTCAGACCGATCCGCTAGGCGGCCCTAAACTGTACACAAGTCATGCATTCCTATACTATACAATTGTGCGGGATTTCATTAAGGCAATATAACCTTAACTTCACGATGTAACAGAGATATGTATCAAAAATTCGCCCAGTGGCCAGTTAGGATTTGTTTTGGAGTACGTATATACTTTCATTTGACCTAGTTTTCCAAAGTATTGATCAACAACAGTTTACTTACTCATTGGATGATAAATAGGTTTCTGCATTCCTTTTAAATGCCGGGAAATGATTTTTGCAGAATCAAAAGGATTTTGCCAAGTGCAATCGTAGATGTGCCATTGACGAGCAAAAGTTGCCCATTGCTGAAAGAAAACAAGTTGCATTATTTGTCTCTCATACAGATTTGTAATTAATAATGAAGTTCATACCTGAACCCTCTTTGCAATAGACATTTTTGGATAATTTTAATTGAAAACCCGACAAAAAATTTATTAAATAACAACTATTAATTCACGCATTCCCCTCTCATTTAGTTTGAGATGACAAACTGAACGATATCACTAAATGAATGTTCTATAACTGTTATCGATTACACATTACTAGGGCTGCCCACACATGACAAATTGTTATATAGCATGTTTACATTAGTATCGAACAACTGGTTCGCTCTTAGATATGAGTACAGCCAAGGTGTATTAACAGCCTTTTTTTGTAAAAAAGGTTAACAAGATCCGCTAACAAAAAGTTGATATGAAAAATTGTTCATATATAAGTTCCCCGTCATAAACACATAATTTTGTCGAGATTCTGTAACAAACAGTCTTCTCCCATCGTTTTTTTTTACATTTCCGTTTGTATTTTTTTCGTTACAAAAACCAAAAATACAAAGGGAAAAAAGATTTATTGTGTTTGTTATTCACAGAAAAAACATGCACTACAAAAACCCAAAATATATTTTCTTTTGATAAAATTCCAAACGAAAGGAAAAAATAATGTTACAAAAACAGGCTGTTAATAAAATTGGTATTTGTAGGTCATAATGGGTTCTAGCTCCGTTGGCGAAACATTGCATGTGTAGGTCCACGATTTGGTTCCTTTACCCTAAGGTGGAGGGTATTAAAAGTTTGGCCCGACCGAACTTAATGTTTTTTTACTTGTTTCCCATTAAATATTATATTTTGTTTTTTAAAATCACCTCAATAACTTGCATTCATATGCAACTAATCAAAATGCGAAAATGTACTATATGCAAAAAGAAAGAAGTTTGTGGAAATGGAACCTTTTTGCTGTCCCAATTACGAATATAAAGGACAAGAGTCAAATATTCGGGATTGAATTGTCTATTAAATCGGGTATAATAAAAGGAATTCATAGAAAATTCTTATAACCTAATGCTCAGCCATGTCCTTATTTCAGTTCGGTTAAATTGTAAATTGAA